ATTTATGTGAAGGATTTTTATAATTAAATATTTGTTAAAAGAAAAATAGGGCAAAACTCTAGATCACTTAATTATAAAGGTTCTACTATCATATCAAACAACTAAATAATTTTACATTATATATTATATTTTTAACCATCACCTTATTAATGAGTTTGATAACATATGAGATGTCATATTATTAAATAATATAATTGATGACCAACGGATCATCAATATCATAAGGAATTAGTATAAAATTGTTCGCACCAGAAATACGTTCAAATTAAATGCTAAATATTATTATGCATGATTGTAACCTCCAAAAAAGTATTATTAAGCACAGGCTTGGGCGAAGCGTCAGCTAAAAAGCTAGTTGATAAATATTTTATGTTTTGATAACTCAGTTGATAAATAATTTTAAGGTTATGCTTATATCATTTTACATGAGATAAACAATTTTTCTACACACACAAAAGAGGGATGAGTCCCACCACTTTTTTTTTCTTTCTCCTCTTACCTATGGGTCTCACTTATAATTTTATTTCTACAACATGAGATAATTACTTTCTTACAACATAAGAAGTATTTCCCATAATTGTAAGTCATAAACAGTTTCATTTTTGCTTGTATTTCTTGAGGGTGTGATACACTGATATGTCATGATATGTGTGCTCAATCAAATTGGGCTGGGCTAAGAGCAGAATGCGTTCCTTGATGGATTTATTGTGCCGACCTAACATTTCATGTCTGAAAATACCTCTTATTAATTGGTAATTGTAGTGTGTTTGGGGTTTGAGCCCACTTCAATCCACTGGACAGCATGCTGGTTTTGGTTTTTAATTCCATTTTTTATTCCAGGCCTACTCTAAGAACTTTTTTATTGTCCCTTTTGTTTTATGCTTTAGTAGATCTTGCTAATGTATTAGAGGTTTACCTGTAATGTAAGTTATTTATTTATTTTTTGAGCAAGTAAAGTGTAAACAAGATTAAATTTCTTGATGGAAAAATATCACTCATTACCTTTATTGATTAAGTTTTCAAATTGAAAAAGGGTTAGATTTCTGTCTGCACAAGACAAATAAAGACAATCAACTTCGGCTTTTAAGCTTGTTTGGATATGGTTTAAGGCATTATTATGAGCTACAGATGTATATGGGCCAGCCCGGACAGCACCGACACTCGCATTAGTTATTGAATAATAATACTTTCAAATAACTTTTTAGAATAACTATAGAATTAGTTCATAATTGAATGGTCACACATACGTGTGTGTACGAACAAATGTGCTGAACCTGTAAAAGCTCAAATTCATTTTATTTACTAAAATTTCCAACTCAAGCTTAAATCGTAAGCCTAATTTAGTTCATGGAGAGAGGAGCAAAGTTTAAATTAAGAAAAAAATAATTATTAGAAGAAGAAAGAAGAATACTGCCCTATTACTAGATAGGAATTTTAAAATAGTACACTTATTTTTTGTTTATGAAATTTAAAATTGATTAAATTATACACTTGACCCTATAATTTCACTCCAAGTTCAATTAAACCCTTATAGTTCAAAACCTTTTGAAAGATTCTTATAATTTTCAAACAATATGCAAAATGTATTTTTTTCCAGTTGTTTTAATATTCTCCCTCGGTTATTTTTTATTTGTTTTTTAAGTTAGTTGTTTACGAATTAAGAAAATAATTATATCACCTCAATTATAAGCAAAAATACCTTTATTTGATTGAATTATCATTTATTAGGATATTTAAAATATTACTATTACTCTATTAAATCTTCCTATCATTTATTAACGAGGTAAAGTGTGAAAAATAGAAGAAAAACATTTCACTTATTACATCCAAGCAATACTGTTCATTCGAGAGTTCCACATGTTCACTCAATTTAGAAACAATGACATTGACAATTACGCGGATGTTACATTGCAACAAACTGCATAGAGTAATATTACTTTATATTTTTTTTCTTCCAGAAATTATATATAAAGTATTTACTTAAGTTTGACAAAAAAGAGAACAAGTAATCTAAACATAAACGATCAGATTTCCAGTCAATGTGACATTAAGAAAAATATGAAAAACTAGAGCTGGAGAGTATGGACTGCATGACAAATGTAAGGGAAATTTTTCAATCCTCCTGGATGATTTTTTTCTCTTCTAGAAATGATTATAGCCAATAAATCTAGAACTACATAATTAAATAAATTTAAAAGTTATGATCTTTTATGAAAAAAAGTAAAGTCTTTCTTTAAAAGAACATATACAATGATATTTGACTTCTCTTATTTTTTAATAACAGTATGTGATTGTACTTAAAAGAAGACATAAATTTCATCAAGTACCTATCGTATTCAATTAATATTTTCGCTTTCTAACAAAATTGTATTCTATTGGTTGGAAATTCAAATGTCAACAATATAGTTCAGTATCAGAGATGAATAAGTTAAATAAGGAGTGTTTATCATAATTCAACAATATAATTCAAATGTTTTTTTTTTTGAAATTTTTTGAGGTAAGAGGACGTACATTTCTCCTCAAATAAAAGATTAATCTCATCTTTTTTTCGATAACGAAGCTCAATGTATCCGTTATTCTAATGAGGGATAGCCTTTAAGTTGTATTCTGAGAATAAAGTGACCCGAAGAAGTTGAATAAAAGCACATCTAAATTATATCAAAATAAAAAATAAAAATAAAATAAGGAATGTTTATGTATGAGCCCAAGTTTTAATGTTTTTAGTTGAGATATAATATCAATTCACCTAGCTATTGACCTATTGTAATAAGTTAATTGCTTAAATCCATTTATGTATTGATGATAATCTTTCTTATTTTGGGCACCGTCACCATTATCCTCAATCCATATACATCCAAAGTGTTATTATCTTTCTCTCGATTTGTTTGACTCGAGTATCATATTAAGAAATTTCACTCTATATTTCAGCCGTTTATTTGATTATCTAGTTTATTTAAAATTAATAATTAATAAATAGATATAATTTAATAAACTACAACTTTCTATCAACAAAAATCAATAGCTAAGAGAATAATAAGACTTAATAAACTACAACTATATATATATATATATATATATATATATATATATATATATATATATATATATATATATAGAAATTAACATGATATGATTATGTAAGAAAATGAATTAACGGCGATGATGTATAATTATCTATTTTAATATAATTTTTTTTCCTTATCACTATTAATTTATTTTTGGGAAATAATATCTTCATGTTGTATAAAAAAGCTATTTTATGCTATACATCTATAAAATTTCATGTCAATTATTTCTTTTTTTTAGATTGTGAATCCCACATATTTGTGTCACTAATACGAGAGTATTATCTCATATAACATGAGATTAGTAAATCTCTTTTATTTTTATATGATTATAATTTGTTGACATAATTATATAATGTTAATTAATACATAAAAAATTTCATTCCGTACATATCAAAGTGGCTGTAATGCTCACTTTTTGTTCTGCTTTTTTGACTTGGTGCGCTTGAGGTTGGAGATTGCAAGCTGCTCTGAATCTGTTGTTCTTATTCCGATACCCAGCACTTTGCTTATCCTTTGCATGGTTGTTGACTTCTTAGTTATCACGGAGTTGGGAATAATGATGTTTAAACAAGCACGAGTGATTTGACAAAAAGTGAAGGCTGTGGTTGTCTTTTTAAATGTACAATTTCTTAACGTGATTTTTTTTTTTTGCTTCCTCAGCCGACAAGAATGAATGATCCCTATTCCCTAGCTGCTACAGTGAAAGACGGAAGAGTGACCATTTGACAAAAAAATTTATCAGACTGTGACATAAACAGTAAATTTTGTCAAAATACCATGCGATATATTTCGTTATTATGTGTAGCGAAATATGTTTGCAAGTAATTCGCTACACAGTGTAGTGAAATATGCCATGTCAGGCTGCAAAGTCAGCAAAAATGTCACGTGTCAAGCAGGCAGAAATTCGCTACACTGTGTAACGAATTATGTTTGAATTTTGCTATTCGCTACACTGTGTAGCAAATTACTTGCAAACATATTTCGCTACATAGTATAGCGAAATATACCGCGTGACATTTTGGCAAAATTTACTGTTAGTGTGACAGTTTGATAATTTTTTTGCCAAACATGACAAAATGGTCACTGTTCCCTAATCACGTCTTATTCTAAATAAAGAGAGAGACAAGAGCCAAGAGGGATACTGATTTGAAGCTTGAAAGTGAATTTCTTCATTTTTTTTATTTGTTTCTCTTTTGTTTTTCATAATTATATTATTAAGACTTAGTTACTAAATTTTTTGACATAAATAACTTGTGTTGTTAACCATTTTGTTCAAACCCTGACAACCATTCTGACAACCATTAATGGTTGACAAGGATATCAACTCAGTCAACGTTAAGTAGTCTCATCAAGTGCAAAATGTTTGGGTAAATTAGATAAAGTTAGATTCCGATATTTATGCATATCTTAACATTTATTCTCAATATTTATGTTTGACATCTTGCGATTTGTTAAGGAAATCTAATGGGGTTTGGTAGCAAACAGGAATAGCTTGTTTGAAACGGTGTGTGATGTAGCCAATCCAAGTCCAACTAGTCCGTGCCCTGTTCATGCTAACTCACTACTCAGTTTTCTATCCATGAAAATGACACCAAACAAATACTAGACATGACCCGAACAAAACGGGTATACGTATTTTATCACTTAATCATTAATGTCCCCACTTCAGTTTATACAGCAAGTGTTCATTTTTCTTGGGTGGTAATGAGTCATGACAATAGTAGGCTAAATTCAAATGACGAAACAGTTCAATGTGTTAACATATATATATATATATATATATATATATATATATATATATATATATTCTTGGGTTAATAATCGTACGAGAAAATTAAGTCCATATACACAAATACTCGTAGATGTAACTTGTTAGAGAGAAGATGATAACAAGTACTTAATGGGTGCTCGCTCCTTATGAAAGAGCCCCAACCTTTCTGCTGAGAGAGAAAGAGTGAATTATTAATGGGTTGTGAAGCAGAGGCAGAGGAGCATAGCAAGATACCAATGCTACCCTTGTTCTCTATCCCAACAATAATGCAGTCACCAGAGCGTTCAGGGATGCTTACTCCCCCACTTCACACTTCAGCTGCAGTTCCATTTCGCTGGGAACAAGAGCCTGGAAAACCAAGGCCTTGCAACGCCCTTGTCACCTTCTCTAAGGGCTTGGAACTTCCTCCGAGGTTGCTAGCACCCTCACTCTTGGAGGGTTCTTTTGTGACCAGCAACAGATTTCGGTCTCCATCTTTTAGAAAGAGCAACAATTGCTATGGTTCTTTTAGTGCCGATAGAGGGCTGCATGGGGCTATGGTTCTCACCAAAGGAGAGGCAATCAAGGACAAAGGGTGGTTTTGTTCTTGGAGGAAAAAGGGCTTCAAGGTCAATAGAGAGGTCACTGGGGGTAGTCATGTCTTCCCATCTTCTACTGCTACCTTTGGAGACACTCACAACAAGGTTAACAGGTCAAAGATGAAACGTTCTGGAAGCTTTTCCAGCAGCCTATCCCATAACAAGTCTCGCGTCTGGGTAAAGATTTAACTCTTTTGTAGTCAGTCAACTGCTGGCTACTTGAATAATTGTATTGTTATCCTGAGAGCATGTAGTTTTGTAGCAATTTTTGTCTTGGTTGGCCATTTAGTCAAGATTCTCTATTATGTCCATGAATCTATATCTGGTAATTGGCTGGGATTCTTTTGAGGAAAATTGAGATTCTAATTTCTAAGAATGAGGGATTTCACTTGAATAAAGCTGCTAAATTGTGTGTTACCCCAACAAAAAAAATTTGCTATTTTGAGTGGGGTAATAGAACCCATTTGGGATTTGGTTGATACTGCTGTGAGATCCTTTTAATCTTAGTGGGGGGGGGGGGGGGGGGGGGGGGGGGGGGGGTTATGCCGCTTTAAAAAAATTGTGTGACTTGTGTCTCATAAAATTGTTTTGTGTTAGTGTGAATAAGATGATATTTTATTACATAGCAAATGTTCCTCTGATCTTGTAATTATTTTGCAGACAACTATCTGTGAGGGCTTGAAACAGGTGGTTCCGTGGAGTAGGAAAAAGCCGAAGAAAAATGGGAGTGGCCTTAGGCTCTGAGATTTTTTCTGGGCAACGTCGTCTGGTCAAATTCAATTATATGAAGCTACACCACTATAAAAACTTCGGATTAGTTCATGCTCGCCACCTGTAGCTGTATGTATGTTTTCACATGTTATAAGTTGTACAGGATTTATAACCCTATCAATTATCAATTATTAGAAGTAGGTATCTCCGTGTAATCTTGCAATGTTACAGTTGTCTCTGTCAACGTCTCCGTTCCATGTCCAGGGAAAAAAATATGTGGGCACGCATAACAAATTATTCGGAGTTCAAGTCATGAAATAAATTATGGTGGTACTACCCTATCCAGAAAGGTTTTACATATACTATTAGGGTAAAGCTACCCTCATGTAACATAATTTAAACAAACTTTACTACTCAAACAAAAATGCATGTGGGTCCCATATATGTAATAAAAATAAAAAGTAAAAAATATGGTGCGAAAACCAATGAGTCAGTAGGTAAAATTACATGATACTCCTTTTCTCCATACTATTAATACATTTTTAATTCTAAATATTATTTTACTCACTTGATTTAATCATTTATGCTAAATGATATATTTAATTATTTATCCAATTATATTAATTATGTTTTACGACACATTATATACAAATATCAAATTCCTTTACCGAGAAGTTAAAATACGCCGTAACACATTGGTCTAACATTTTAAAAATGCAAAGGTTTCGTCGAAGTTAAGTTAAATATGGTCAATATTTATCAAAAAAATATCGACAATATCACTATTCTAACATTAATGTTATTTAAATATTTCTTAAATAATTCATATAATTCTCTTCAACATAATTCATTTACTTGTTTTTTTTTTTGTTCTCTTTCTTAATCACCATCAATTACCCCTTTTATTTAGGTAATTATATTATTTTTACACAAGATTTTACGCTTCCCGTACAAGAGATAGATCTTCCTAAGAACAAGGCTTACAGTTATTGATAATTTATAAATTATGGTTAACGTATATTAATTTAGGGTAATGTAACTATCATATTACAAGACAGTGAAATGAATTTCCTGCACACACACTTCGTTTATCGAGCTTGTGTTTTTTTTTTTTCTTTTTAAAAATTGTGGGCACCATAAAACTTGTATTTGCAGGAACATTTGCTTCCGTCTAGGACAAAAGTAAACCCCGTTAATTAATTATGGAACTAATAGTTTATGTTCTAGGAAAATTGTTACCTCATGTTATAGATATAAAATTATAAGTGAGACTCACAAGTAAAAAGAGAGAAAAAAAAAAAAAAAAAAAAAGAGAGAAAAAATAAATAATGAGCCCACCCATCTTTTGTGTGTGTAAAAAAATTGAAAATATAACCCATAGTTTATTCCCAACTAGTAAGTAATTCGATTTCCTGCTCAATAATTAACCAATACATTTTTTTTTTTTGGTAGTCAACCAATACATATTAACTAATAGTATATCTTTTTTTTGGAAATATTCCAATTGGTTGATCGCTTCGCGATTAGTCCAATTCGGAGCGGGTTCAGGATTAAGACTTTAAACCCATCCCAAAACAATTCCATGAGAAGCGTAAACTTATCGTGCACGATGGAGGGGAAAAAAACAACAACGAATCTACATATAGCATGAAAAACACTATTAACTATCTTTTCAGTTTTTTTATCTTAAAAACTTTTTTAAACATTTTTCCATCGAAAATGCTTAAAAAAGAACACAGACAAATTTGAGTAAACAAAAATCCTTCACATTGACCCCAGAAAAACAATTTCAGAACTCGCAGATAAACTGATATTCAACCAACTCTTAACCTAAATTAATATGAAATGAAACCACTTAATGATTCCGGAGCAGATCCGTCACAAATAAAAGCTAAATCCAATATTTAGTACTCTTATTTCTCTCATTATGAATGAAAATAAGTTCAGACACGGAAGTTGGCAAATTTGCCATTATATCTCAAGTAAGTCACACTTACTTTTTACCAGTCATACCTGCAACCACCTGCAATGACACAAGACATCAATGTCAGGAAACGATAAATGAGGGAGGCGGAGGGAAGGAGTGCATGTAATAACACTTCAAAACAAGCAATTCCTGCAAATAATGGTGGGTTAACATATATTGAAGGAACTTTAAAACACTGGGTGCTTTGACTCAAGTGGTACGAGTAGATGAAACTGAAAGCGGGGGGTGGTTTTGAAAACCCAGCTCAATACACTGTGATGCTGAAACTCGTTTGTTTCAAAACCACCTTCCATTAAAGGCCTTTACTACGAGTTATTCAGAAAGAAGGGGACCGAGTAATCTGTCTCCTAACAATGGAAAAAACAGAAGAGAGTCCTCTGGACCTTTACATTTGAGGACATAACACCACCAAACTTGAGTTTAGTATGAAGAGTACTACCAGTGAACAGAAAACATATTAAACATTTATACAACAACTCTGGATTTGAAATTAACACTACAAAGTTAGTGCCAGAAGCAACACTCACATCACTTAAAGCGGGCTGAGGAGGTCGCTTGGTTCCCTGATACGAATCCAGCATAGGCCTCACAAAAGCTGGAAGAAAAAGCCCTGAAGGATTTCACAACATAATAAGTGACTAGCCTGTTAGTAGAAAATGACTATACCGAAAGAGAAATATGTTGAAGTGTATACTAAATCTAATTTTAGTGGACTCGCCATCCGTTAAACAGCATAAACTGGTTACGGAGAATATTAATTAATCAAAAGAAAATTTAAAACTAGAAGAGCTAAACCTCTCACTAGGGTTTCTGCCCTTCCCAGAGCCCAGTGAGGGAGCAAAGAGAAAAGAACCAGGAGCTAAGAGAAAGAACTCTTCATGCTTTTACTCTTAGTCCTTATTTTAAAAAAGAGATTCAATGAGCAATTTGAATTTAGTCCTATCCATCATGCACTCTTATCAAATAAAAGCATAGAAGATTCAGGCAGTTAGGTGCACAAACTACAGGCTGGAACAAGAAGAATTATTTTCATGATTGTGATCGAAATGATATATGCAAAACTTGAAATTTCATGTGGCTGGTTCAAATGAGGATTTACATCCACATTTACAATTCAAGAAATTGAACATGAGGCATAAGCCGCAACCTAACATTCTGTTGGTTAATTTTAGCATATCAGACGTACCTGTAGGATGTGAGATGAAAAAGGGGAAAAAAAGGACTTGATGAAAAAATATGAGTTCGTGAGAATAGATTTTTTTTTAAGAAAAAAAAGTTATATAATAAAATAATAGTAAGTAAATAATACACTAGAAGAAATTAACTACTAATTACCATGAACTAAATGGAGGAAATAATCTTTTGATCAAATTCAACGCAAAACAGCCATCCATCACAGTCAAAACGTATAAAGATACAGATAAAAAAGATTTGACGAGCAGAGGAAATAATTTGCTTGGTGACAATCATCAATCATGTAGCTAACAAAGGACACGTTGGTTGCCCAGGGAATCTGAAAAAAAAAAAAAATCAAATCTACTACAATCTCCTTCCAAACATTTGAACAACAAAAATTACAAATTTCTATCCTTTTTCGTACATCGAATGCAGTCTTCAATCAATCTCACAACAATAAATCCCAAAAACCAATTGCAGATGGAAAGTTAAATCAATCAGCACAATTATACCCAGTAATTTTATGAAATTATTCGCAAAAGGAAAATTCGAAAGGCGAGGGTAAAGAGAATATTGACAGAAGATTAGGGTTTCGAGACATACCAAAGCCAGCGATGAGAAGGGAAGCAGTGACCACTGGCTCTTGAACAACAAACATCTTCAGCTTCTCCATCACTGTCATTTTCGATTTCCTTTCTCACTTCTCACTTCCAACTTCTTAAGAAATGCGGCAATTTTTTTTTTTTTTGTCTTCCCCTCTCGTCTTCCGTGTGTAGGTGCATTCCTATTTTTCATTTTCAATATTATTTTTTTTGCCTTCTGAATTTTACACAATTTTTTTAATTGGTGGGCCCTATGCAACTTTGGCCCATCCAATTTAAGATGGTCAGAATCAGGCCCGTCCAGCCCGTTAATACTGCTTTTGAGTAGGTCATTAGGCTAGTAGGCTATAAATTGCAGCCACACAAACAGCCTGCAATGCTTGAATAGAAAAGCCCAAACAGACCAACTGATCCTACTTTTCGAGTGGTGTGTGTCTGCTGCACGCTTTGGAGGCCCACGGTGGCCTAAACAAATGAAAAATATATAGTACTGGGCTCGGACAAGATAGCTTGCCCATTTTTCATTCAGCTTTCCATGTGATGTCTAGAATGTCTTAATTATAATTTTTATTTTTAAATGACTCAAGTGGTTTTAGATAAATAAGACTAACAACATCCTAATAAGTAAATACTTAAAACTTAAAAGAGTAAGATAAGTGGGATATAAATATTTGGAATAGTTATAATTACTTATTAATTTTAAATTGTTGAGGCCGTCCGTTATTGACTTGACTTTGTCAGAACAGTGAGTTTAATATAGGTACCATGCATCACATAAAATACTTGGAATATAAATTCAATCACCATAGACTTGGTCCTTTAAGATGGAACTCTTCCTCTCAACAAAGAGCCACCCCCATCATTTTTCTTTTTAGTGTAATTAGTTACTGAAATAAAGTTTTTGGCAGTTTGCAGCTTGATATCTTCACCTACTCCCCGAAAGATATTTGAAGAGAAATAGCTGTTTGACATCATCTTCACAAAAAGATTTATGTACATCATCTCATTAACATATTCATTACAAAAGTGATGCAGAATACACAAATGTAAGGACCAACAAATCTACAAAAATACATGCACATCATATAAAATAATGGGGCTTCTTTCCATGTTAACCAATTCCCCTTGTTGATTAATCTTCTATGACAAGCAGGACTATGATTCAAGTCATACAGAACTATGAACGAGGCCACATCCAACCCACTGTCCATCCTAAGAGCAAGCCAGCCCCAACAAGACTCAATCCTAAAGCAAACGCAACAGCATATGTTGTAATATCACATTTTGGCTTGCCTTCCCTTTCTTGTTTGGCACTGGGAAATTTCTGTTTTCTCTTCCTTGAGTTCCTACCTTCATTGGATATCCACGGAAGAGCCACTGGAAAGAGAGTAGAGATTGGCTTATCCGTGTTCTTAATCTGACTGCACAGAGTTTCCAGCTGCAGCAGTTGCAACCATTGCTTATAGGCAAAGAGTTGTGAAGCCTGTTTGAAAATGAAGGTAACAATGTGCTCTTTCTCAGCCATAGCTTGTTTTGCTGCTGCTTCTGCTTCCCTTGCACGTGTTTGAGAGTGACACAGTGCTTCCATTAGTTGAGCTTTGCTGGGGTCTCCCTCAAAAGTTTGTTGACTCTCCGTGACATCCTCATGTATAGGGGTATAACTGCAACAAAGTTGCCAGTCCAAACCAATATTAAGCAAATGAAAAGCTATGCGAAGTTGTATTGTTTTGGGTTTAAAATAGCTTATAAACAAATTCTTTCTGAGAGATCTTATGACAAATAAGCAACTTTTGTCCCAAATTTATACAAAATCAAACACATGGCTACTACCTATGGTAGAATATAGAACATTCCCCAATTTGTCAACTTTTTTGGCTAAAGATTTTGAGCGAAATTTAATGCAATCATCTGACATCAACAGGAAAATACCTTGAAGATTTGTCAGAAGCAAAATATAAAAGCCCTTCATTGGCAGAAGGCCGCAGCTTCTTATGCATCAATCCTGAATCTAAACTTCCCCGTGCATGAACTGTCAAATTGGAAAAGCTTATGGGTTTGGCCTCACATTCATAAGATGCTGTCTTTATTTTGTCATCACAATTACTATCACATGGGTGTCCTCTAAGATGCTTCTTCTTGGGTGGAGGAAGATCACAATTCTCAATATGGTTGTGTGATTTCTGTGAAACAAAGGAAGCTAACTCATCCCTATCTGTAGTCCGCCACCATGGCACGGCCTTATCACCTTCAACCCAAGAATAATCTGATTCCAAGCAAATATCATTTGTTTGCTTGGAGGACACTGAGCATCCAACAGAATCTCTCTCCATTGATTCATATTTTGCCATCACATCCATTAATTCAGGAAATGCTTCAGAATTCTTACTAAATGTTTTATTTTCATCACTAGCTATCAAAGTTTCCATCTCATCCTCTAATGCATTTAACTGTTCACATGTTAAACCCTTTTGATACCCATAATTAGATTGCAAATGCAACCACCACCTAGAGTCAGGTGAAAGATTAGAAAATGATGTTTTACTGTTAAAATGGGTGACATTGGAAGCAGCATGATCAGATTCATCTGCTGTATTGGCAGGTCCAGCATCAACCAAATTTGATGTTGCACATGAAGATTGACAACAAGCCAACTTGGGAGCTCTTTTTGCATCTTCTTGGACAAAGCAACGATTAGCAGTTCTCTGCCACAGAGCCCTCGCTTCTGCTGCCGCCATCACTCATCTATTCTTTCTTCATAATTTCTGGGCAAAACTAAAATATTAGAAGTTAAAAACATCTGAATCCATTTAAAGGGATTTATTAATTATGCTTGGCAAAGCCAAAACTATGAAATCACAAAGAAGATAGCCTGTAATTGGTTGACCACCAATGCACTTCTGACAAAAAAATAAATAATAAAAACAAAACATTGAGATGCATAGATTGGTACGACTGCTCCACATATATCAAAAGAGATAAAAAAAAAAAAAGATAATAATTTTAGTAAAAAAAAAGGCCAAAATTTTCACAGAACTCGGTACAGAGTCAGACTTTGGGATTTCTACATACACTTACAAGATCATACACCAAGTTTAAAGGGGCAGAGAACAGATAACATAGAAACTGAAAACTCTCTTGCATGGAAGTACCAGGCCAAGACTTTTTTAAGTAAAAAGGCTTATCAAAACAGATCAAAATGGTCAAACCCAAACATATTCATAACAAGCATAAAAAATCAATCAGCACCAGAATGAAATTAGAAACAAATACATAAAATAGAATATAAAGTCCGCAAATTTTGAACCCCCCAGAAGACAATAATCACTCAGACCGATAATCATAGAAAAGACGCAAAGAAACCTTGGCATATGAACAGTTTAAGACCAAAACAAAGTATATTATCAGAGAGAAAAAAAGAGGAAACATAGAAGGATTGAGTGAACGAACCAAGAGAGAAATTTGCACATAGTGGGCAAGCCTGGATCATGGTGAATTGATGGAAAAGAAGGGCATAAGATAGAAATCCAAGAAAATCAGAGACAGCAATGAATGAAGAAGGAGAAGGTGATGACGCTTGTGAGAGAGCATGGCTTTTGTTTTGTGTCTGCTTTTCTTGTTTTCTCATTTTCTTTTATCATTCTATTTTACGCTGTCGGTTTACACGCAAAGCTTTTTTTGCTTCGGTACAGGGACACGACAACTGAAGCTTAAGACCACTACGACGCCGTTTGTGGCATTATCTCTTCTTTCTTCGCAGTCTTTGTCAATTAGTTGCTCTATGCCTAGCAATGGCGGGGTCCACAAGAAAATCAATCTGAAGAGTTCTTCATGAAGCCTCTTGTATTTACACGTGGCGATGACGCAAAAGAATCAACGGCTGATCGCTTGTCCGCCTAGCCATCAAAAGATAAGGAGTAAGAACTCTTATCTTTCTTTCAAAGAAGAGATATCATTGTCTTTTTCCTTTTTTTAAAAAAAATTGCACGTAGGAAAAGCCCTTATCCACAGGCCATGCCAACGACCGTTTTGGTCTGTCCTAAGAAGTAGATATAATCACAAGTTATAAATGCTTCCTTTTTGGTATTTTTATAAATTTATTGAACTAATTATTTATTCTAATTAATATAACACACAAATTCAGTGGTACTTTGGAACTGTCAGTTAACTTAACTTGAATTCTAAAGATAAAGGCCTGAGATCAAATTAACTACTAACACAGAATGATTCATTTTGGTCAGGATCTATTTACCATTAAAAAAATCAAAGTTCATAATCATAAAAAAACAACGTGCGTAGCCGTAGTTTTATGGTTGACAATCACAAATTGCAATGGCTTGAGTGGAAATGGTATATGACTACTAGGATTTGAATTATCTCACGTGAAAAAGTAGTTATGTGATCATATTATTTAATTACAATTATTTATTAATGATGAAATAAGAGAGAAAAATATATAATTTTTAAATAAATAATTATAATAAAAAAATATGATCATATGACCACTTTTTTCACGGTATTACCATAATTGTGATCCACGTCAATTCTGGTTGCTAGAATGAAAAGATGAATAAAAGATCCACGTTCCAGGCTGGCAAGTGAATCCACAGATCTAGGTTGTTTTTCTCTCTCTGTGTGCTGCAACTCATGCGGGACCCATTCGTATCCTCGGGTTACGCACACACTATGCAGTTTGGTCCCTCGTAGTACTGGATTATGGAATCTCAAAAGTCAAAATAATGCTCAAAATTATTAAAGCTGCCTTATCGCCCATTTTCAACTGTTCCCCACTTAATCACTTCCAACTCTCTCTTCCAGTGTGATAATTACAAAAGCAATATTCCAAAAACCTCCACAAAAATTATTGATATTGCTAATAATTTGTTGGCTGAAATAAACAAAGGGTTTTATAATTCACAGATAAAATATGCGTGTGACTTTATAATATGTAATAACTAATATGTAAGTATAAAATATGGGAAACACTATTTTTATTTTATATGAGATAATTATTTTATATTTTTTCATTTTGAAAATTTTATCCTTTTTTTTTTCTTTTAATGATTGGCTTCATTTGGCTCCTTTTTATAATATGAGAGAACTATTTTATATTTAAAAAATATATATATTTTCATGTAAAATAATAACAGTATTTCCATCCGAACAAAATCATTGTTTCGTTGATTATAACGATGTGCGCTCATTGTTGGTATTAAGCCCAACTTCCTTTGGTCCAGGCCCATGCCTTTCCTTTTTCTTGCATATAAGTATGTCGACGGCCCATAACCATAGAATATGCCATACCCATAACTTCTATACCTGAGTGAGCCTTTGGAATTCGTAAAATCATCCCATTTACATTTGGGATCTTGTCAGAATTCAAAGATTTGCTGGAGCTTTGTTCAACCTTATAAGCACGCCTCAGCTTTTTAGAATTTGTTTGGGAAAAAAAAAAATTCAAGGGAAAGAAAAGGAAGCGAAAGGAAATGAAAGATTTTTCCCTTCCTTTATAAATAAAACCCTTAAATTGGAAGAACTTGATTTTGTGAAAATTTCTAAATCTTTTTTCTTATTATTTTAAACTCACAAACAATAAAATAGATTATTAAAACCATTGTTTTTTTTTTTCCTTTTTAAAATTAACTCTAAAACAAACCCTTGATCATTGACCCGTAGACATATAAGGAAAGTCAAGAAGTCCAACATCGCCATTTTTGCCACCAGTCAATGACTCAATATAACCGTTTCGTACTCATTATCAAACCCAGAAAGAGAGCGCCCACCACCTTCACAAGAGAAGAGTCAAGAATTGTCCCGTAAATAGAAATGAGCCAATATTCATACACAAAACAGGTCACGAACCTTAAAAAATAATTCATCATTTGACCCTCATATAGAGCTCCTTTTCGCAGAAAAAAAATAAAAATAAAATAACGAGTTTTATCCTTATATTTTTAATCTTGAGAACGGAAGTAATTACAAATTACGTTTGATTTTCTCTTTAAGATTGAATCGATAGTCCATAAACAAGAATTGGATTTTTTTTTTAATTTCTTCATTTCTGGATTAAAAATAATAATACTTATTTCCGGTCTTGAAAATATTAGTTCTATAATAAGAGTGAAATATGGTCTTGAAGTGATGTATAAGAGCTGAGTAGGTGATGAAAGAATTTTAAGAGAGGCTTAAAATTATAATCCCTGACTCGTGTCGAACTCGGGATTAGTTCTATAATCGACTCAAAAATTTCGAAGCCCTGGGAATATGAGGAATTCTTCTCGCCTAAAAGATAATTAGGGTTGATATCCAATTAAAAAAAAAAGAACAAGTCAAAGGGATTTTAAATTTTATTTTTTAATATATACTTTTAGTCTTTGATTATATATTCTCGTAAACATTATCGTAAGGCTAAAAATGTCTCAAGGCCTTGTGCCAAAAAAAAAAAATGTCTAAAGGCACCGTTGCGAGTAAGGAAGCACAAACACTTCTAAAAACAGGGAGAATCGTGTCCGACACGCTTCGACACGGCGACACGCTCCGACACGGTGTCGAATACGCGGTCAACTTTTCCGACACGTTGACCATTCCGACATGCGAATTTGACCATGTCCGACACGATCAAATGGCATTTTTTTAATTCTTTTTTTAAAAAAAAAATTATTTTTTTTAAAAATTAAAATATATTAATAAAGCTTCTACCTGATCATATCAATTTTATTTTTTTGTCTTTTTTCTCCTTAAGTAGATAAGAGATCATCTCAGCATCATTGTTGTCAATTCCTATCACGCTCTTGTTGTATCTCCTTGTCTCTGATATCTCTCTCTAATATGATTTGATCTTTCTATCTGATATTATATCTCTCTCTCATCCCAATTTTTATTTTTTTATTAAAGCTTCCATCTTTATAACGTGTTGATGGGTATTATTAATTTAGTTTCATTTTTTTGTTAAATTATTAAATATTAAATGAAATATACACTATATAAATTAAAAATATTATTTAATATTAAAACGTGTCCCAACGTGTCGAAATCCATAATTTTTTAGGATTGACGTGTCGGAGTGTCGTGTCACGCGTCGCGTGTTGTATCGGTGCTATATAGGTTGCGAGTACGACTATCAATAACAACATCTTTACTCAGAATTCAAATTTTAAGTATATGTTTGAATGAAAGGATTTGAAAGAAAAAGAAATGGAAGATTAATTTTTGTCACTAAATTAATATAGTTACCAAATATTTATAAACATGAATAATAATAGATGATTTATAAGTTACACATAATTTCTTATTTTATTCTTTATTTAAAAAATTTCTCAAATAAAGAGAACGTGTGTACTTATATATTTTAAAAAAGAGGAAGGTTATATTTACAACTTTTTTTTTATAACCTCTACAACCATATATCATAACCGTTGATTTTCGCCAATCAACGGTTGTCATTTATTATGAATTAATAATTAATTAATGAGTTTAATTTGCGAAAAGCGTAACCGTTGATTGGCGGAAATCAACGGTTACGATATATGGTTATAAGAGGTTGTAAAAAAAAAGGTTGTAACTATAACCTCTCCCTTTAAAAAAATAATTATATATTTATGTGTTAAACTTTCATTTTCTTTTTATTCAAGTTAATATTACAAATATTAACTATCGCGAGGTTGAACGAACAAGATTTATTTCCCACTTATGATAATAAGACAATGTTTTCATTTCACATGATAACGTAGTGTGGAAATGTTTTGTAAAAAAAGTAAATATAAATGCTGTCGAATATAATGTGGCTATTTTTTCTTCTTATATTATAAATTAAACAAATAAAGATCACGTTGAATTGATTTGTAATCTCCAATGGTTTTTTTCTATTTACAAAATATGAAATTATTCCTTTATACTTTAATTTTTTCACTATTAATTTCCTGTTTCATTTAAAATAATACTGATAATTGTAACCAAAAAATTAACAATATTGATAATTAGTTACTCAAATATATACGCGATTAAAATGGCTAATAGTTTACAGTAATCATGTAACAGACGGGGGCAAATTCTATTTTCTACAAGTACTTGCATTATAATTCAAGAAAAATTGTTAATGCTGGTATGGTATGTATTATACAGAATCAGGTGCCAGTGCATACGATACCTAGTTTCTGGCTTGGTAATATTCGGAGTTCACAGAAGACTTTTGTTTAGAAAATTATACACGCGTATACATTATCCTGAACTAACATCAAGTTCTCTCTAGCAGGTGGATATTATTAATATTGCTAAGTACCCAGTCACCTTCTACAGGAAATTCAAGTGGCTCACCGGCCATGGGATGATCAAAGTCTACTAAAGTACCGTAACCATCAAAGATAGGGTTGTCATTGATTGGAAAGACAGTGTCAAGATGGCCGTGAGCGTGTTCATTATGAATGCTCAACAGCTGCTCTTTTTGTTCTCGCTGCTCTGAGACCCGAGTTTCTATCGATTCCAGCTGCGCCTTCAGTTCCTGAATCATCTTTTGCAGCTGGAAAATAGCACCAGCACTGCCATAAACTGGGTCTCTAAGCCTTGCCGTGGCCTCATAGACCATGGCTTTAACAGCATCCTCTCTCTTTGTCTCCTCCACTATCTAGAACAACAATAACATGTTACAATGTTAAACCTTTTACTAATCCTTTCGCACCATGTTCATGTGTAAGAAGAACAAGTATAGGCAAAGGTGGATTTGGTATAATTAAGTTATATAATTAGACCATTTTTTTTTTCTCTCTAAATTTCCCTCTCTCTTATAAAGGAGAGATGGTTTGATTTTATTAGTTTATCATATTTGCCATAGCAGATTTTAACAGTATCAATTAGCATATATAGCATCAATTCAATCCCAACATAATCAGGGAAATAGCTAAACATTGGACAAAAACAAACCTTCTAAAGAACCTTGGGATACACCATCCCAAAAGCTAGCTCAAGGGGTGAGAGTGCCCCAAGGCCTTATAAAGGCCATATTAGTTGTCCATCCAATCAATGTGGGACTATATATCATCTCAACACCTCACGCAAGAGTCCTTTGGGCTAGAAGCGTGGAATTGCACATGCCCATACACCACCCCAAAAGCTAGCTCAAAGGGTGAGAGTGCCCAAGGCCTTATAAAGACCATATTAGTTGTCCATCTATATATCTCAACAAAGACTATTGAAGGATTTTAAATATCTAAGGTTAAACTTTGGTTAATATCAAAATGGGCACATATAAATTCACTTGGAAATTAACGTAACAGTCGTGATAAAGGATATATAATTGTATGAGCAGCTATATATGTCACCTGAATCATTTTGATGACGTTGCTAGCACCGAACACCCTATGCACTCCAACAAATTTTTCAACCTCGTGAGTTGGGAAATATGGAGCAAGTAGGCACTTACTGTCACATCTACGGCGTAGCATCCTGCAAGCTGCGCAAGGTTGATGGGTCTTCGACTCTGCCTCAGCATGGAAACCCATATGTTTGAAAGATGCAAATTGTTATAATAATGACTAGCTAGGCTGAGTATGACCAAAGTGCAAATGAAGCACATATATAGAAGATGGAGAAGTTGTTACGTGGGTTGATAGGTCGAGTAGCAGAAAAGCTTCTTGTTTGGATGCTAGATTTTCAAAGGCTAAGTGCAAGGAAGATGCAGAGGCGGCCACTAAGGACAGATTTAGGATGATGGTATTGTTGAAAAAAAAAACTTGCGATGTGTTACGTCTCAGTCTCACTGTTGGCATGGTGAACCTAACACACGCTAACCCAACTTGGCTTTTCCCAAATTAGACAATTGGAAAATTGGACCGGGCCAGTCGCTGTTCTGTGTCCAGCCGATATAGAACTCCCGCATGGTGAGATCCAAGTCCAACTACTTTCGAAGGAGTCAAACATCAGAATTCTGAACAAGTGATTTCAGTTATATATTATTGTGCGAGCCATTTTTTATTTTTCATTAATATTGTTCAATTGGAAATGTTTCATTAGGGAATGTCCAACCCAAACATTGGTATAGATACTCGTTTTGAGATGATTAGAATCCGTAGGCCAATAATCCCGTGTTAGGGGTGTGTGTACTGGAGTGAGGGAGATTGAGAGAATTTTAGGCATAGTGTGCCCAAGTGAATAGGTTGATGGATGTGTATATTGGACTATAATCTCCTTAATATACGGGAGCATTTTGACAATTGTGGAAGTGGTGCACTTAGAAAGTGATTCTACATATCCCTGAAGAATGGTCGTGTCGGTAGCTACTCACATCAGTGGATAGAAAATAAGACCAAGTCAATAATATTCCTCATCCAATGGGCCTTGGACTTGATTGGAGATCATGGCACAAATAATCAAAACCATACATGTATCAACGATTGAATCAAAAAATCTAATATTAATTAATAATGAATTAAGTGAACATCATATAAATAAAAGGACTTTGCACCTAATAATATCATTGCTCACTTGACCCATGGTTGACCGTCTCTTCCTATCATGAGCTCCGTCTGCACAGCCGGCAATTATCATTTAATAAATATTCTTCAAATAGCTATAAATCATCAAAGTACAATTAATTGGAGATAACTTTCGTATTAACTAGTAACAAGGTTCAAACTGAATTTTATGTGGGATAAATAGTTTAGAGGATTGAAATTCACTCAATAATATTTTGCAAAAGGCAGCTAAGTATAGCGTTCAAGTAAGAACTAGCCATACAATCAAAGAAGATACTTAGGTCTTTGCGGTCAATAAAAAAAAAATCATATTCTATCATTAATTGTATTTGATATTTATGAAATTGCATTTGAAAATTGCAAACTTTACTAGGACTATCAATTTATCATCTATACTAGGGTTTGTTTGGTGTGATATATAAGATATAATAGTATAAATTTATAATATACATTATGATATTTTTAGTTGTTTGATGTTATCATCGTATAGTATTAAGCTTATACAATACGTTATGACATTTTTAGTTGTTTGGTGTTACCATCGTATATATAGTATAAGCTTATACAACATAATCCCTTAATACATCAAAATGATGTATAACTTAATCAGGTCTAAAGGGGTGAGATTAGGTTTGATAAAGTGTTTATGTATTAACATTACTGACTAATACAATTTTCAATAATTAATATATTATTTCAATATTAATATATTAAAATAAAAATTATTTTTTTAAAATATTAGATATTTTTATAAAAATTAATAATTTTTTAAGCACACTAATCAATAGATTTTTATAAAATTTAATATCATATGATATATTTGGAAGAATTATATAAATTCTTTATTAAAGGGTATCTTTGTTAAAAATATTTATTTTTATCTTATCTAATGTTATACAGTGCATTACCAAATGTTAAATGATATTATCTTATATAATAACATGTCAAACGCTGGATAGTATTAAAATTTATTTAGGCTTATACTATCAATCTTTATCTTATATTGTACACCAAACATGCCCTAGAGATTGAAATATGGCAACATTCCTTAAAAATATATATATAATAAAAAATAATAATCACTTCAAATTACAAAGCGAAGTACAAATTAAACTAACTGGTTTTGAATTTTGAACATTGACGTTAATTTAATTTAATTTATTTTTTAAACCTAGAAGTTGGAAGTAGATAGTTTACTCTTCAGTTTTCTTTCTTTCTTTATTTTTTTCTTTTTGGCCAAATTTACATGTGCTTGTTAAAAAGTTTTACTTACTTCATTCAAGAATAATATATAATCGGAGGAACACAGAATCCAAACTCAAAATTTATGTGACAATATAACGAAGAAACTTATCATTGAGATTTGAATAAAACGTCGTTATTAGGTAGGAAGTGTAAACTTGAGAATTCGAAGTAGCTAGGAAGTGTAAAATATATAAACAATTGCGGTACAATATTGATTACTTCAATGTTCGTTGCTGCGGCGGCTTCTTTCCTTGAAAATAGAAAAGAAAAAACAAAAATGTTAGCTAGCTTTGCTTTGACTGATATCGTTTTACTCTATATATCTTAAGTGTTTATCCCATTGATGACCGGTCACAGCTAGCTAGGCTTTGACTGCAGTGGACAGCAACAGCAACAAATGGAAGAATTAATCTTCCAAACAAAGTGGAATTAATTAAACCTTGTTGTCGGTGTTGGTGTTGGGAAGCTAGCTAGCTAGGTATGTGCATGCCAGTCATTTTCAACTTCAGGATGTTACGTATATATATAGACATCTCATCTTCTGTAAGTCTTCTTTGCTCTGTTGTAGGTGACTGGAATTGGAATTGGCGTACTTAGACGTTGAAATTTGAACTGCTGAGCAGGCTTAATAAGCTAACTCATAAAACAATAATATTTGATATTATTGCCGGTGGTCGTCGGTGGCTGAAGAAACGAAATAAGATTAATTATCAATAACAATACAATCTTAAAGCCAACATATACGATACCGTTTCCTGACCGTTGTTCTAGAGCTTTGAATAGACTGTTTCGCATTTTGAATTTTTTACATGAGATGTGATTTGTGAAGAAATCTCATTCGGGTAACTTTCGTCATTTGTAAGGGCTTTCCTCTGTATCAAAATCATGAAAAAGTTACTGTTTTATGTGATTGTTTTGGGGTAAAATAAAGATAAACAATCAATAATTTGCAACGATAATATTGTTGTTAACTTGATGTTCTTATTTTATTGCCATAGAGTTTAATTGAGCAGGAAGAAGTTCTCTGATTGTTTGTGAAGATAATAGATTATTGATGTCAAATTTAAGCATGTCTTGGAAAATATTGCCTTAAAATATTTGTGGATAGGTTTTTCCTCAATCCGTTTTGAGTTTATTTCTGATTCTATTTCCTTCCAAATCATGAAACAAAAGTAGTGCTTGTGAATTGGCTATACTATCCAAGGTTGACTGGACATCTTCTGGATTTTTCGTTCTCAATTTTTTTTTCTAAAATCTTTTTGCAATTGGTCAGACAAATTAAGGAGAGACTTTAACATTGAAGATAGTCTAAAATGTAGAAAACAACTGCGATTAAGTATTTTACGTATTGAAATTTCAACATGTTCTCCTGTACTTGTTCCTACATATAATAAAATGTCATAGATGTCTTGATGCCTGATCAAGAGATTTTCTTTTTAAGTAGAAATTAGTCCAAATAAGTTTTTATAAAAAAATTTGTAACTAAAAGAGTTATTTTTATAATAAAGAAAAAAAATCAAAATTCAAAAGTTCATTGAGGAGATTTTTTTTAATCTGTAGCAGTTTTTTTTTTTTTTGAAATGTGTGCTTTTTGTGAAATGAACCACTTTTAAGCTAAATTTTTTTATATAAAACATCAAACAACTTATAGATTTATTTTTAAAGCTTTTTTTTAACTTTAAGTCAAAAAGTAATTTTTAGCTTAAAAAAAAGAGATGCCAACGAAACTCTTAACACCCTTTTCTAGAGATTATCTGTCAATACTCTTTTTTTTATAGGAAGTTGAAAGAAAAGTAAAAGAAAGAAGGAATCAAAGAAATCACTTGATTTATTTCAGCTAGGCACACAAATTTCATAAGTAATTATCTTGTAAGAATTGTATCATAAAATATTCTATATTTTTCTATCGATCAAATATTGTATGTATGAACCGAACCCCCATAGACTAATCGAATTGTACTCTCATTTTATTTTAGACTCTCTCGAATAGTATCAAATATAGTATCAAATCAAGATTCAATTTTTTTTTCTAAACAAGTAAATCTAAGAAGTTGTATTTGGTCAATTTAATATCTTTTATTTTGAAAACAATACTAGTAGTACCTTTAATAATTTAAGAGCAACATTTTTTTTAATCAACACCAATATCTTTATCCCAAACTAATTGAGATGAGATAGATCAACCCAAATAAAAAATTAAGAAAAAAAGAAGAGAATAAATACATACATAAATAAATAAAATCAAAACTAGTGATTAGTATTTAGGGATAGGTTATTATACCCACCATTTTTCTGCCTACCTTTACCTACCATCCTAAAACACCGTTAGATCAGAATATTAACTAATATTTATCTTTCTCTCTCTTATGATCTAACGGTGTTTTAGGGTGGTAGGTAAAGGTAGGCAGAAAAAATAGTAGGTAGAATAACTTATCCCTAGTATTTAATCCTGTTCACTTATTCAAAATATAATTTTTTGTATTTAAATTTTTAGTAATTTAAACACATAACTAAATATAAACCATTAATTACCAATGTATAACAGTAACTGTAACACCCCGTATATATCCGGTAATGTTATCATACTATCGTATTAAGCGGCGCTTAATTAAAAATGCGGAATATCTTTTTCTTTTCAATTATGATGTCATTATCATTACCAACTTGCTTATTAATCATTTAATAAAACAATGCCGGTATATAATTGCAATAAAACATCTATCTGAAATACCTCATAACATAGATAATAAAAGTGTGGCTCTAGTCACGGAACTACAACAACGTAGACCGGACCATCT